TCGACGACCCATCGGGCCAGTAGCGGCTGCCATTACTAAAATTTTTTTAATAATCGAGCAATCAGATTTCTGTTTAATATTTTTGTTGCAACGGAAAATATATAACTATAAAAGCTGGAATACCAACCAGTATAGGATTGGGACACTTGTGGTTGCATGGTGATAACATACGCATTTTCGGCCTTTTTTACAACAAAAAATAACATTTCAATGGCTGACTGTTGAACAGTCCCATTTTTTATACATTGAAAAATGAAACTGAAAATTTTTTTATTTCCAGACCTCAATACTAATTAATTTTAATTATACAAATGGATTTTGGATGCAGAAAAAGGAAGTTATAATTTTTTAATATTGATCAAAGTAAAAGTATAGCTTCACAATTGAACGTGTAGACGTTTTCCAAAGTATTTTCAATTAAAAATAAGAAAAAATGAAGAAAAAAAACTTAATAATCCAGATAAGCAATAGCAAAACTGATACAAAGCATTGGATTAGTTAAAAATTATGAGAATTAAGTAGAGAAAATATTTTCGTGTTCGCTTAATACCTGTAAAACGTCTGACCATGCCCTGGAATAATGATCATAAGCCCAATCGATCAGGATAAATGCATCTCAGTTGTCAAGAATACTGTTTGGTTCAAACGAAGAAATAGTGATAGAAAAACATGCTCATCTTGAAAAAAAAAAAAAAAAAATGATTAAATCGGCATTTTATTTCTGTAAATTTTATTAACTTTTTCTTACCTATGGTGCAACAAAAACCCGGCGGGCAGTCGGACTGCTTCGCGCATTCGGCACCAACTGGCCAACGTCTTTCGACTTCCTGGGCTGCAACTACCATCGCCAGCCCCAAGAACAGTACTGTCTTCAACATTGCGGTCATCCTGTTTNGTCTGACCATGCCCTGGAATAATGATCATAAGCCCAATCGATCAGGATAAATGCATCTCAGTTGTCAAGAATACTGTTTGGTTCAAACGAAGAAATAGTGATAGAAAGACATGATCATATTGAAAAAAAAAAAAAAAAAATGATTAAATCGGCATTTTATTTCTGTAAATTTTATTAACTTTTTCTTTCAAATTTTGTGTATTCAGAATTAAAAATGTTAAAAACTAATCCATTAGAATTGTTTGACTTGTAGATTTTTAATGGATGCCTTATTTTTGAAACGTTTCGCGCGAACTAAGATATTATGATTACTTTTATGCTTTGCTACAAGTATTTTGGTATTTTATTAATCCACAAGCATATACGTCTTACTACCGGAAGCCAACAGAATTTTACTTATATATTTTTGTTCACTTTTTCGTCTTTGTAAACGTACCGATACTATATCATATCTATGGAATCTTCGTAATGCCACCAACCGCGTACATTTATTTTTTTAAAGATAACTTTTAGTGTGAAACGATATAAAGTAAATAAGTACATTGTGACTTATGGACCATATATATGCGTCGTATTTGAGGGACATTATAAAGCACAAAGTCTTCTATCATACGAATATATTTATTTTACTGTAACTTGAATCGAATACATTTGTTTGTTTAGTTATTTCTTTTAAAATAATCTTCAATGTTATTACTTGGATGTTGGATTAGAGTCTTATTTTTCAAGGATTTTGAAATGAAATCACAATTTATGATTGTTTTAAACGGAATTGTATTAATTTCAAAATATAAATAAGTACATCTTATGAAAGAGATGTCGATTTTTTTTTGCGTCAGTAACTTAAATTTATTAATGTATAAGTAATATTCGATTGTGATGTTTGAAAAACAAAAAAATCCTACACCTTCACCTATAGTTTTAAAAACATGTGTACTTGTAAATATCAAAAACGAACACCCGTGTTAACAGTAATAAATTGCAATAAAAGGAAATGTAGCTATAAAAAATTTTCTCATTACATTATTCAGGAGGTATTAAGTAAAGCGTGTAAAAGGAGAAAAAGACTAACAACACAAGGTATCACTTTCATTTTGGGTTGGAGGTTGGATATTAAAAATCAGTACTCTGTTGAGTTATCGTTTTGACAACTAAATAGGCCAATCATAGAGAATGTTCATAACCACATCATTGATAACAAACAATAATTAGACTAATTCAACACATGGAACTTACCACTCATCGTATTTTATACTTTAACATGTGCATTTAAAAAAAAATACTTTGTAGCATTGACGCATTCGTTGTGATTCGTTGAACATATTGCACGAACAGTTTAAACAATTTCCATTCAAAACGTCGGTTCAGCCTCTACTCAAAAAAGTAAATCTTTTTCACATACGTTAATTTCTCACGGTGATTCATAAAAACGTCTCAGTCGAAGGAGTCAAAGAACAAATTAATCTATAATCAGTTACTATTACCTACAAATCTTAAGTTTGCCGCTAATATTAGTCAATACTTATGTTATTTCCAACTTACAAATACCAATATTATTGTTCGATCGAGAGATAAGAGTATATCTTTGTGAGATCGTTGCACCAAGTTTCACATGTCGCGTAGCACTATGTCCGACTGCCAGAATCCCACCACCAGTGCTCCACGTCAAGCTACTAATTTTTCCCCAGCAATACATAGAATATAATATAGAGTAGAGCAGATAAAATAAAAAACTAACGAGATTATTGAAAATAAAAACAATCGATTTACCTTGAAATCTGACATTTCCAAACTGTTCAACCTATATATCAATTGAACAGTGGTAGAAGATTTACTTATCACTGCTACCCAAATCGTAGTCATCGAACGTACTGCTACCGTGCTGTTCATCCAGGAATTGGACAGAAAATTTGAAAATTATGCAGATATTTAAAACAATTTTTTTATTCTTTTAATAATAAAATCGCACGTACATTATATTATTTTTACCTTTAGACTTCAAAAACTTTTACATTTTTCATACGGTTGTTCATATAATATATGCACTAACTGAAACTTTTAATTCGAAATTAAATGGGTCCAGTTATGCTAAAAACGTACTATGTAAGCAAAAGTACTACTTTTCGAATCGATTTGACGGTAATCAAAATTACTTTAATTTAGAATCTATTTTAAACATTTATATATACTTGTAGTTTTTAATATGTTTCATAGGTAGATGTAATATCTTTTATTTCCATTATAAAATTATCCATCTCCATATTCGCGTGTGCATATATACGTAAAAACATTTCAACGAGTATATGTAAATTGTGTAATGTATATATTATAAGTAATAATATAATTTACTAAGTACACTGTAGTACATAATTTAATTGTGTGCATTGGTTCAGCTACTGCCAGTTCGCAATAACGAATTAGTGTGATACATATTTGACATGAATATAATTTGTACAACCGTTTTTTTATTTCTACATCACTCATTTGTTTTGACCAAAACAATATAATGTAGTACATTATGGGCTCGTTATAAACATATATATCGTAACGTGTATTATAATATACAATTATATTTCATGAAGTTATCACACACCATAACAAAACAATACAAAAATTTAACAAGATCGTTACGGCCATATCTCATTCGACATGGTGTTTGGAATGTTCGGAATGATCGGATCACAGGTTCCCCTGTAACAACGTAATCTGCGACCGCATGGACACATCATGAGGTACACGTCACCGAGAACCATCGACGACCCATCGGGCCAGTAGCGGCTGCCATTCGTCATAGGACCACTCGGTATGCAGTTATCGTTCTCCATTTGCAGCGGCCGGCAGCTAGGATAACTGTACCGCTCGTATCCTGAAGAAAATATTATGGAATCGTAACGTGCAACGTCACGTGTACTCAATTTGTACAATGTCAAACACTCCACATAGGTTATAGTAAGTGGATTTGTTCAAGCCACTTTAGGTTTGATCCAATTTTCTTAGCAAAATATACCTATATATATGGGTGATTCTGCCGTAACTTGCTCAGATCGACTTGAANGATTCCTCGGTATTTTCCATACTTCCAAGTTTCCACGTGTATCGCCAATAGCCACCATTTCCCTATAGTAAACGCACAGTGTCAATAAGAATAAAAATTTATTTATTACATAAGTAAACTTATTATTCACCGTTTTGGATTGAAGCTCAAGCCACTTGCATTCTCTCTACTTTCGGAATACAGTAACATTTTTTGTAGAGGCCGACCATTATTTACATTGAAAAATTTGACTTCTGCACCAGCACCATAAGCCAAGAAAATATCCTGATGGCCAAAGTACCAACTTAATTGTACCATTGTATTTTCCACTGTGATAACCCTTAAACTAGCAGTCTGAAAGATATAAAATGAAATTTAAATGTGACAAAGGGAAAAATTAATTAAAGTTCGTGTACTTATATGACGCAAAATGAGGTAAATAACCACTCACCTGGTCAAAGTTATAAATTCTGACTTCCTTGTCGGATCCACATGAAACAAAAAGATTCTTAGTAGGAGCACTCTTGACGCATGTTACAGTGCCCTTGTGCCTATTATATTCATCTACTACAGGATCAAAAATAGATTCATCTCCTTCGATTGGAACAGCACGATCTAGCATGCACTTGTAAAGTCCACCGCATACAGTTCCAACAACAAACGTGTTGTGATCTTTTGTTGCAAAATCAAAACAAGTGATGTGAAGACCAGCTTCGGCAGCTCGCTCTTTGCTGCCCCCTGCACTGTGAGGTCTAGCTTTTTCAGCAGGATTTTTTTCTTTCGCTATTTTCAACCTGAAAAAAAATTAAGAACTTTGGGTAGTAAAAAAAATACTTTATCAATTGAATTTTCAAGAATTCAACGATTATTTACTTTTTATAAAGTGAAGATTGAGTGAAAACAACTGCAAGCTTGTGAATGAAAATGTATCCTTCAGCACTTGATGTCACAAGAGCCGAGGCGTCGTTCAGTACCCTAAGGTGCCACTGAACTTGCGACACCAAATCGCCATGTGTACAAACATGTAGAGGAGTAACTGTGGATTCGTCTCTCAGATTCCATACCAGAACATCGCCTGCAATTTGCAAATTTCAATAAATCGATTCTTCATACTCATTTGAGAAATTGTTGGCTCAAACTCAAATCCTAAAGGTACTCTTACCATTGAACAAGCCAGCAGCAATGATTGAAGGTTCTTCAGGATGATACAGCAAAGATGTAACACAGGAAGAAACTTCCAAAGACTTGCTTGGCTGTGACATCAACTGATTATCTTTGGATATATTGAAAAAATCAATCTTTGTGAGATCGTTGCACCAAGTTTCATGTCGTGTTGCACTATGTCCGACTGCCAGAATCCCACCACCAGTGCTCCACGTCAAGCTACTAATTTTTCCCTAGCAATACATAGAATATTGAGTAGAGCAGAGAAAATAAAAAACTAACGAGATTATTTAAAATAAAAACAATCGATTTACCTTGAAATCTGACATTTCCAAACTGTTCAACCTATTTATCAATTGAACAGTGGTAGAAGATTTATCACTGCTATCCAAATCGTAGTCATCGAACGCAGTACTACCATGCTGTTCATCCAGGAACTGTAATACTCCTGGTGATATCCTTTTCAGAAATTCGGCCAATGCATCGTGACTATACTCTGTATTTCTTGGTGGAAGATTGACAGTTTGCGTCTGAAAAACAAATTGATTGATAGATCATATTCAAGACGATACTTGATAATCCTAACTTGGTGGGAATAAATTTGCACCTCAATGCTTTTGGTTTCCACAACCTGTACTTCATCCGATTCGTAAACTACGTGCTCAGTTTGAATATTTGCTACTTGTTGAGACCTTGAATGAATTGGAACAAAATTATTTATTAAACTATGCATTAAGGTAAATATACAAAATTAGTACTAACTTTCCGTTTGTCAGTTGAGGTTCAAAACCCACAGGTTCAAAAGATTGATCGGTGAAAGTCACTTTTTCTAATGAGCTCATTTTTAAAGATAGGCCAACTAGTTGATAAGGTAAATAAACAAATTAGTATCTAAGTACATCTACACTTTCTTTGCTTTCTCGAAGAGACGCCGCTCAAACGGTGACTTTATGAGACCACATCTACAATCTCTGGGTCTACTTAACCTTTATTTCACTCCGACTCTGACAGACTGTCATTTGTTGTTCTGCTCTGCTGGTACCTATATATTTGCCGTGTTCACGGGGCGAAGGAGAGATGCACCCCTCTCCCTAAAGTATCACACGGAATTCGAAAATTATGCAAATGTTTCAAACAAACTTTTTATTCTATACGAACAAACTTTAAATACTTTCACATTTTTTATATTGTTTATTTATGCACTTACTTTACATTAAATAATTCCTCATTGAACCATTATTCACACGATGTATAGTAAAAACGTACTTTATATGTAACTAAAAGTACTACTATTCGAATCGATTTGACACTAATCAAAATTACTTGAATTTAGATAGTATTTTTTAAACACTCATACTTTTAGTCTTTAATATGATTCATGAATTTAATAATTTTCCTTTATAAAATCATTCATCTCCATATTCGCGTGCATACATTTATATATAATACGTAAAAATGTTTTAACGAGTATGTAAAGTAAATTGAATAATGTACTTATATATATTTTAAGCAATTGCTCTTTTGAAACTGGCCAATAAAAACACATGAAAAATTCATCGGTCTCACGATAGAATATTTTTATTGGTTTCTAAGTAGTCGATGATTGCACCCGAAAAACTAGATGAAAACAAAACAGAAACTGTAAAAGTGGAATAATAATACAATTTACCATGTGGTATGAACATAATTAAATTTTACTTGTACAGTTGCTGCTGCAAGTCCCCATCATAATGAAATACACATATATTACGCATACGAATAAAATTTACAAAAAATTTTTTTATTTTTTCATCACTCATTTATTCTGATCGAAAAAATCATATGTGGTACAATACATGTATGGGCTCATTATGGATATCATACATCATAATAAGATGTTTATTAAGTATTGTATGAATTTCTCACACGACCACACAAAACCAAAATTTATCAAGATTGTTATGGCCGGACCGCATTCGTCGTGATGATAGCATCACAAGTTCCCCTGTCACAAGTCAGTCCACGACCGCATGGACACATCATGAGGTACACATCACCGAGAACCATCGACGACCCATCGGGCCAGTAGCGGCTGCCATCCGTCATAGGACTACGCGGTATGCAGTAATTGCCCGTGGTCTGCAGTTGCTGGCACCGAGGAAGACTGTACCGCTCGTATCCTGAAGAAAATAATATGGAATCGTGTAACATCATGAGTACTTACAAGCACATTCGATTTGTTGAAATGCACAAATGCACATTAATCTATTGAATACCTTATAGGTTAGTGTAAGCAATCACGCACTCACCTATGGTGCAACAAAAACCCGGCGGGCAGTCGGACTGCTTCGCGCATTCGGCACCAACTGGCCAACGTCTTTCGACTTCCTGGGCTGCAACTACCATCGCCAGCCCCAAGAACAGTACTGTCTTCAACATTGCGGTCATCCTGTTTGTTGTTGTGTCCTTAAGACTTGACTTTATTCGCTTTACCTGAAAGAACAAAATAGTTGCAAGTGAACACGAAGGTGCTTTTTTTCCAGTGTTCCACACGCGTGAATAATGACCGGTGAAAGTAGTGACAGTGTAATGTGTGTGAATTGCCGTGTATAATTGATACCGAGAACATTAACTTTTTGAAATTGCCTTTTGCGATCGACAAAAAGGTGATGCATATGGTGTAATGTCGTCAATTGTGGCAATTATCAAGACGTCGAGTGTAGGTATAATGATGATGGTTTATGTCCGACTGCCAGAATCCCACCACCAGTGCTCCACGTCAAGCTACTAATTTTTCCCTAGCAATACATAGAATATTGAGTAGAGCAGAGAAAATAAAAAACTAACGAGATTATTGAAAATAAAAACAATCGATTTACCTTGAAATCTGACATTTCCAAACTGTTCAACCTATATATCAATTGAACAGTGGTAGAAGATTTACTTATCACTGCTACCCAAATCGTAGTCATCGAACGTACTGCTACCGTGCTGTTCATCCAGGAATTGGACAGAAAATTTGAAAATTATGCAGATATTTAAAACAATTTTTTTATTCTTTTAATAATAAAATCGCACGTACATTATATTATTTTTACCTTTAGACTTCAAAAACTTTTACATTTTTCATACGGTTGTTCATATAATATATGCACTAACTGAAACTTTTAATTCGAAATTAAATGGGTCCAGTTATGCTAAAAACGTACTATGTAAGCAAAAGTACTACTTTTCGAATCGATTTGACGGTAATCAAAATTACTTTAATTTAGAATCTATTTTAAACATTTATATATACTTGTAGTTTTTAATATGTTTCATAGGTAGATGTAATATCTTTTATTTCCATTATAAAATTATCCATCTCCATATTCGCGTGTGCATATATACGTAAAAACATTTCAACGAGTATATGTAAATTGTGTAATGTATATATTATAAGTAATAATATAATTTACTAAGTACACTGTAGTACATAATTTAATTGTGTGCATTGGTTCAGCTACTGCCAGTTCGCAATAACGAATTAGTGTGATACATATTTGACATGAATATAATTTGTACAACCGTTTTTTTATTTCTACATCACTCATTTGTTTTGACCAAAACAATATAATGTAGTACATTATGGGCTCGTTATAAACATATATATCGTAACGTGTATTATAATATACAATTATATTTCATGAAGTTATCACACACCATAACAAAACAATACAAAAATTTAACAAGATCGTTACGGCCATATCTCATTCGACATGGTGTTTGGAATGTTCGGAATGATCGGATCACAGGTTCCCCTGTAACAACGTAATCTGCGACCGCATGGACACATCATGAGGTACACGTCACCGAGAACCATCGACGACCCATCGGGCCAGTAGCGGCTGCCATTCGTCATAGGACCACTCGGTATGCAGTTATCGTTCTCCATTTGCAGCGGCCGGCAGCTAGGATAACTGTACCGCTCGTATCCTGAAGAAAATATTATGGAATCGTAACGTGCAACGTCACGTGTACTCAATTTGTACAATGTCAAACACTCCACATAGGTTATAGTAAGTGGATTTGTTCAAGCCACTTTAGGTTTGATCCAATTTTCTTAGCAAAATATACCTATATATATGGGTGATTCTGCCGTAACTTGCTCAGATCGACTTGAAAAATTTTTT